TTTTTTTTTTTTTAATTTCCTGCACAATGATTCAGGTGGCTTTTCCTGTTTCTGTCTTCCTCCTGGATTTGGGTCCTGTAATTACTATCACAGAGAGCTGGAAGGATGCCTGCTCTCACAGCACAGGCTCCTTTGCTTGGCCTCCTCCCTTCCATTGCCCCCACCCCTCTCTGGCGCCGCCTCCTCCGCGCTCCGCGTAGCCAGCAGCTAGACAGCTGCGTTCAATCTGAAACCACTTACAACTCCAGACGATTCAAAGGGGGAAACTTCGGCGTGAAGTGCAGCTCGCTGTCTCCAGCTTTCTTTCCTTCCCTGGAACCGGAGGCGCGGATCTTCGTCACTCGGCTGCCATAGTTTCTTCTGCATCTCGCCTAAAGCTTTTCCAGAGTGCGGGGATCTGCTCAGGGGTGCACTTCAGCCTCGTAATGGGGCAAAGCGAGGCACCATAGGACTGGAGAGACAGCGCGAGGGTGGCATTGCCCCGGGACGGCGGTCACAGGGCGCAGGCGGGTTTCCGCGCTGGCTCTGCGGTTGTAGTGGCTGCGTGCGCGCCACACCACCTAGCTTCTTGCAGCAATGGCTCGTCCATGAATCGCGAGGTGAGTCTGGCTCATTTTTGGAGTGTTTGCATCCTTCATTTGGCCTCCACAACTGTCCTGGGTGAAAATGGCTGTCTAGACGAAAATGTACGAGAAGGCACCAAGCAGTGGATATTGAGTCTGTTAAAGCCCAACTCCAAAGCGCCAAGACCTGGAGGAGGAAGAGCAAAGCTCTGAAAAGTGCAATCATGAATTCTGGAGTTGCCATGAAATACGGAAACGACTCCTCGGCAGAGCTGAGTGAGGTAAGAAACAGCTGAGGTCGGGAGCTCGGGTTTCTCGGGCATTTTGCTTTCCCACCAACCCCCTCTATCCCGCTCTCCACCCCCATTGGGCTCCGGGTCTGGAGGCAGCGCAATTAAAGATTAATAGATTTTCTGGCTCTTGTTTTAACTTGTAGTGCTACTCAGGAAATGACCTGAACTGTCGAACTGACTTTATAGTCTAAAATGAGTGATTAAAAAAAAAAAAAAAAAAGCTCTCACCAGGCTGCCAAAGCGTTTTTAGCCTTCGCAATCTGGATTCCCTGTGCTTTCCCCATCTTCTTCCTCCAGTTTTCCGTGATGGGTAGAATGCCCAGGGATCTTTGCTGAGTTTAAGTAAGAAATTTGATGGCTGGGGGTGATAGTCGGGGACATTGGATTATTACGTTTGCTACTTTGTTCCCACCGTGTGGTGCGTTTGGTTAAGTTCTGGCAAAGTGGTCTGTCCTCCCGCGGAGATGAATGACCCGCGCTGGGGACGGATGTGGAGAGGAAGCACATCAAAGCCGCTTAGAACTTTATTTCCTTTCCGGGACTGAACTTCCTTGCCTTGAAGGCAAGCGTATTTGCAATTCCTGGGCTCTCACAGTAAGAGAGCAGCTTTGAAATGAAAGCTGCATCAAATAGTATGCAGATATGTGAGCGGTAAGATGCTTTAAGCCACCTATTTTGGATGAAGCTAGGAATGCCTCGGGCACATCTCCCAAGGCTTTAAGTACCCGGACAGCGGTGATGGAGAACCTACAGAATTGGATGATATGAAGAAATAGGGGAAATGCCTACAGTAGGAGGCTTGATGACTGTGATTTTTCCTCTTTGCACTGTTTATGGGGCCCAAAGTAGAATTGTCTATACTTTTTGAGTACGGCTGCGGAGAGAAAGGAGAGAGAAAAGGAGACCAGTGTAAAAACTGCCTGAAGGCAGATAGCGGTGATGTCAGATTACTGACAGCATAAGGAAAATGAAAGGATGCAGCCCTTACTCGCGGGGAGAGGGCTGGTGTTTGGGGAATGGAGGAGAGAAATCCAATAAGGTCTGCAGCTGGTGTCCGACAGTGAATACTGTTGGCTTTGCGCCATGCAGAAAATTTACACTGCTCCAGAACACAGAGAGGGAGTTTGACAGTGAATTTACACCCTTGGTAGTGACTTTAGGCTGATCAGGGAAAATGACCGCCCTCACTTCCGTAAAATCTTAATGTATA